AGCTTCTGGATAAGGGCCTCACCCAAGACTATCTGAACCAGGATCTCTAGGGCGGGGCCCTGGCAAGGTTTGCTTGTTTTTGAAAAGTCTGCTCCAGGTGAAATTTACCAGTGGTGAGTAGAGAACCACCAATTTAGATCTTACCACTAGCAAATTATACTAGAAAGTGGCATCAATATATACTTCACTTTATCTGAATCTTATAACACAGTGAGAACAATAAGCACCAGAGCTAAAAATGCAGTAGAGAAGACATTAAAGGACATCTGTCATTTTAATCACATTTTTCAGGCCTCTCGTTAAAAAAAAAAAATCAATGGTTGAGTTAGCCTAAAAAACCCCTACGTATGGTACCTATAGATTACCCTACCTATAACATATCGTGCTCAAGAATCTTTATTACAAATACTAAGTTCTAGAGTAGCTTATTTATATCTCAAAAGATTTTACTCAAAGCACAGAATGGCTCTTCCCTAAATACATAATTATACAACAGTCACACTGTAAAGCCAGCACGTCGTGCATACAGAGCTAATACTGTAAAGTTCTTTTATTTACACAGGGTTCGTGGCGGATCAATTTTTACCTATGATCTCTGAAATAACTGTCATTTGTTTCACAGGCACACGGAACTTCAGAAAGTTTAGGAAAGGAGTTTTTTCTTTTGGTTTTACGTGACAAGTGGTGATGGTATACTCTGTAAAAGGTGTCTTTCAGAATATCTGACCTGCACTCGACAGCTGGATTGTGGAAGGTGTGCACCACGTTTCTAAGGATACGTTTTTCACTTCCATACAACTGAACACCGCATGCGGCCGCCTGGGCCCAAGGAGGCAGTGCGGTTCATGCTGGATACGTACCATGTAGGCAGGTTTCATATTTACCTTTTTAAATAAGACGAACAAGATAGTGCTTTAAACAGACCAAACTTACTTCCCTATGCATAAAAAAGGCACAAATGATCCCTTAAAAATGCATAATCTCAAACTCTACACTCAGGCCTAAACTCTGTGACACAAGCCAAGGTCTTCTAATCTATAATCCATCAGGGCTCACGGTCCAAATGGCAAATTTTAAGAGTAGGTAATAAAAATTTAACCACAGTCTGACTCTGGGAAGAGAAAGTTCAAGTCGGAAAACACAGAAACATTACTAAAGCATCTGTCTCTAATAAATCGTAACTTTGAGCAGGAAAAATGAAACTATACCCCCTCAGATTTGGTGCACCTTGGGAGGGACTGTAAAAGCAAACACATTAACAGCTTTTCTGGAAGAAATCTGAAAGAAAAGCAAGGAGTTATCAATTCACAACAAACTATAATAGCAGATTTAGATAAACCAAAGAGAAAATTTCTGATTTATGCCCTTCTGGACTAACTTCAAAGTTCTATCACAAAGGTATTACACCTTAGGTTGTACAACGTGTACAGTAAGGACTGATTTTTTTAAAAGTTTTCAAAGAAAATATTTACAATTATACACATGATGCTACAATCACAGTTCTGGTGGCTGCCCCTTTCCCAAATTGTCTAAAAAAGACTCTTGTAGGAGGGAGTATGTGGACATATTTCTTCATGGCGCTAAAGCAGAGGAAGGAACAGGCTGTCCCGAGTACATTCAATGTGGCTTCTAGTTAAACCACAACTCTTGGCTTGAATGTGCCACGCAAGATTTCCAAAAACTGGTATACTGCACACTCTATAAGTAGCACATAAATTAACAGTCAAGAATATCTCAATTTATGTTTTACTAATCCACTTTTTCACAAGATAAGGCAATGCTTTTCAGATAGACCGGCTAGTCACTTTTAAATTCACACTGGATTTTGAAATGTTCTTCGCATGTACTAAGTTAGGTCAAAAAAAGGAATAATTAAAGGTGCTTAGGAACATAATTTTAAGATATGCCCAGAGTCTTCATCCGCTCTTAAAGCATTATTGAACCAGAAAAAGTATATATTAAGTAATAAAAGCAAACTAAAAATCTGTAAAAGGTACTACAAACTACATATAGTTCTTGTTCGCAGGTCAGAGGGAATGATATGATACTGACTAACTCTGAACATTAAGGGCAGACGCCAATACATCCTAAAACAAAATGACAAAATAGAATCTATGGCAATAAGCACAGTTACATACTGATAAAAGGTATAGGTCATTATGCAAAATAAATTATAGAAATTTACATACTTAACACAGCTAGAAAATAACATATAAAAGCAAAAATTGATTAAAATACAAAATTCAGATTAGAGTAGGGAACTAGTATAATTCTCTCAGAATATAACATCAGAATAAAAACCTGACACAAAGGAACAAATTATACAATTAGCAACTTTAATTATGTACAAAAACTTTGTATATGCTAAAAATAGTCACCAAAAATCACTATGTATTAAGCCACACAGAAAATCTAAAAATACTCCCCGAAGCAAAAACCAGTAAGGTTGCAATGTAGACTACTGACTGCCATGTACTAAAATTAGAAGTTAAAAACCAAACAGCTAAAAAGAAACCTAAATCTATCTACTTTGAATTAAAAAAGAAAAAAAAGAACCTCTGGGTTAAGTAAGAAATAAAACAGTAAAGATAAACTTCAGCAATGAAAAACAATGACCAGAGAGTGAAATCCTCAGGATGTTACCAGAGATTGCAGGAGAGAGCAACACACAACCTTAAATGTTGGAAATCACAACAATGAAGAAAAAAAGCTTTCAACTGAAGACAGTAGAAAACAAAGGGAAACTGAAAGATCATGGAAAAAATTAGTAACAACGAAAGAAAAAGTAATGACATAGAAAACAAGTGCAGTTGTAGGCATCCTCCCACTTTCCTTTTCCTTTTTTAAAAACTTTTTAAAAGTTTTTTTAAGGCAAGATTGAAGATATAAGGAAAAAAAACAAGAAAATTATAGTGAATACCTGTGTACCCACCATCCAAATTAGAAAATAAACATCACCAATATAGATAAAACCTTCTAGATATGCCTGCCCCTCGTGTAACCTCATGCATTCTTCAGAGCTTTACTACATGTGCATGCACCCCTGAACAGTACATAGTACTGCTTCATATGTTTTAAACTTTGATATAAACGTTGTAATACTATCAGTATTCTTACGAATTTGCTTTTCTTAAATGTTTGTGAACTACAGCCATGATGACATCCATGGTTCATTAATCTTCACCAATATATACGGGGCGCCTGGATGGCGCAGTCGGTTAAGCGTCCGACTTCAGCCAGGTCACGATCTCGCGGTCCGTGAGTTCGAGCCCCGCGTCAGGCTCTGGGCTGATGGCTCAGAGCCTGGAGGCTGTTTCCGGTTCTGTGTCTCCCTCTCTCTCTGCCCCTTCCCCGTTCATGCTCTGTCTCTCTCTGTCCCAAAAAAATAAATAAACGTTGAAAAAAAAAATTAAAAAGAAAAAAAAATCTTCACCAATATATAGAATTCCATCACATGAATATCAAACAATGTATTCCCCTGCTGATGAATACTCAATAATGCTGTTAAAAACATTCTCTGAAAATCTGTGTACATGAGTGAGAGCATCTCTAAGGGTGTGTACACAGGAAGAGAAGTGCTGGGTCTCAGGATTGTGTACTTCTTTAACTTTAGTAGATAATTGTCTTCTACGTAGTACTAGTTAGATTTCCTGAAGATCTATAGTGTTATCTACACTTGGTTTTGTCTGACATTAGTTTTTCCCAATGTGAAAAGTATGGATAGTATCTTATCAGGCTTTTATTTTCCCTGATTATTACTGAGGTTGAACATCATCATTTCCATGTTCAGACATTTATGCTTCCTCTTCTGTAAATTCTTGGCTTCATTTTCTGACGAGACCTGCTCCATTAATCAAAAATCTCTGACTCAAATATCCTAATGAAAAGCTTCGGTGAAGCCTTGTTATCTGCGGTGGGCAGGTCCTTTCTTTTACAGGACACAGAAATCTAAGACGAAAAGCAGTATTTTGGTGTACAGAATATTCAGTATAAAATTGGTGCTCTTCAATGTGTGCCTTTAATCTTCCATAACCTCCATTTCAAATGATCAGAATGCAAACGGAAGACTCCTAAGAAGTGTGATATCATGTACATGTAATATTAGAGCATTATTATTCCAAGATTAAACTAAACATTGTAAAAGCTGACCACACCTTCAGCTTAACAACTTGTTAAAAATTAAGAATAAATTCCTAAATTCCTACATGACTTTCAAAGCAGATACAATCCCAAAGGGACAACACTGCCACAAGATGAAAAGGAGCAAACACTTCCACCCGGAATAGATAACTCAGGACAAGAGAGACCACAACGTTTTGGAGTGAAGAGAGGGTAGCTGGCAATGCAAAGGGCTACCAAAATTCTGGAATCCACCATAGAGCAGATGTCTGTATGTCAATTTCCTGTCCTATACAATGAAACAGACAATAACCACCACACTGGTCGCTGTGAAAAGTAAACACGGTAACACAGGATACAATACCTCTATCTGATTCAATTCTACTCTATGGATGAGGAAATGAAGCAGAGAGAGATCAAGTACACTCTTCAAGATCACAATTAATAAAAGATCCCCATGCCCAAATTCTTCATAATGTACTGTAGCATTCACAGTACTTTTCCAATATGAGTCTCAATGAGTGTTAAAGGATATGCCCAGGAAGGAGCAGACTAAGGGGACTACCAGAAGGATCTAAGAAGATAGGAAATGTACTCAGACGTTCAAAAGAATTACAGTGAGCAGGTGATGGTTACCTTAAATGAGAACTTACTCATTTTTCTCTGTGCTGACAAATATACTTAGATGTTCGCCACATAAGGGGTAAAACTAACTGCCAGCTTTAGGAATACACGGCATTCATGAAACCCAATCTGTTAATTAAGACACATTTAAGAAAGTCCCTTAAGAAATTATTTTCAGATAAACAGCAACCAATTTGACCAACTATTCTCTAGCTGGTGGAATTCAAGTGGGCAAATATTGGAGGAAGGTTACCTACCTACTGCGGGTGCATCATATTCATCACCAAGCAGAATTTCTGGAGCAGAATACGCAAGAGATCCACAGCTTGTTGTGAGCTTCTTCCCTGGTTGAAATTTGTTGCTGAAACCAAAGTCTGTCAACTTTACAAGACCTTGCTTTTCGAAGAAGACTACATTCTCTGGTTTTAAGTCTCTGTGAACCACATGGAGTTTATGGCAATAAGATATAGCATGAACGATCTGAGCAAAGTACTTCTTGGCCAAATCTTCATTAAGTCCCTCTTCGTGCTTCATTATGTAATCGAACATATCTCCTCCATCTCCAAGTTCCAGAATAAGATAGAGTTTGGTCTGGGTGTCAATAACTTCATAAAGGCGTACGATGTTGGGATGCTGCACTAGTTTCATGCATCTCACTTCTTGGAAAAGATGACCGGTGGCTAGAGTGTCCAATTTTGTCTTGTCAATAACTTTGACTGCTACTTTTTCACCTGTAAAGACATGCCTGGCAAGTTTAACCACTGCAAAATGACCTCGACCCAAGGTTTTATCCAGATCATATAATCCAGCAATCTTTCCATCATACCCTCGCTTGAATCCTGCCATGCTGGTCCAACAGAAGAAAAAATATATAGACTGTTCAAAATGGATCTTCTCATATAAGAATATTTGGTGAAAATAAGGAATTCATTTTCAGTGTCGCCACGGACATCTACAAAATAAGAGAAGAAACAAAATTAAGTTTCTGTAGCTTTTCCTTTTATAGTTTCCTTACTTTTTTTTTTTTTTTTTAAGAGAAGCCTGAAGTAAATAAATTGAGACATAAAATGAGTAAGGGCCATATAACAACCTGTTTATATATTTTGGGTTTATATTACAACGGCTGAGAATTTTAAAACCATATTAAATTTTGCAAACTGAAAAAAAAAACCTGACTTGTTGAAACAAGTTTTTGGTGATGTCAGAAATAAGAAACCTGGCAAGTTTGATAAACTATGTTTAAAAAAAATTTTTCCCCCAAAGTAATTTCAATTAGTGTCTTAAAAAACAAGGCAAGAATTGACAAAAGGGAAAAGAGAATAAACATTTGGACAGAAACCCAACAACTTTTTCCTGTTATTTCAAAACTAGCACTATTTCCTGTAAGTACCAAAAAAATCCCTTTAGTGAGGCCTCCTCTAGTTAGAATTCCAGCTGGAATTCCCTTCCCTTCTCCGTTATCTCCACAGCAGCTTGGACACCACCAGCCCATGAGGTCTTACTCTACAGATTTTCGTATACACCATTTCCCTCCTAAGACCGTAAGGTTCTTGAGAACTCTAACGTTCTATTTTTTTCCTTCTACCCTCCCCTCCCCTAAACAGTGTTTTACATATAACAGGTAGTCAATATTTTGTTACATTTTGAAATTCAACTTCTTTCCAAAATGTTTACATGCCAATTGTTTGCTCTTGTGTCACTAGTGCCTAGAACGGCAACTGACACACAGTAGGTGCTTAATAAATGTTTGCTGACTGGTACTCGGTCTTTGTACTTATCAGTTATGCCTCTATTAGTCTTCACACTGTCAAACCAAACTCACCACAATCTGTTTATAGTTCAAAAACAAACAAGCATGCGTTTTTTTTAATTTTTTTTTTTTAACGTTTATTTATTACTGAGAGACAGAGAGAGACAGAGCATGAGCAGGGGAGGGGCAGAGAGAGGAGGAGACACAGAATCCGAAGCAGGCTCCAGGATCTGAGCTGTCAGCACAGAGCCCGACGTGGAGCTCAGACTCACAAACCGGGAGATCGTGACCTGAGTCGAAGTCGGATGCTTAACTGACTGAGCTACCCAGGCACCCCAAACAAGGATGCAGTCTTAAACCATCTTAAAGATCCTTTGGTTTTAAAGACCATATCTCACATGGCATTTAAGATTCTAAACCTTTATTATGTAAACTCTAAATACAGAAATCAACTCTTATAAATGACCTTCAGAAAAACAAATGTATAAAATCAGACAAATTAAGACATCACTTTAAATCTCACAAATTCAACTCCCACTATTATTTTTTCTGACCAAAATTTAATAGAATTATTGTAAAATCCAATGAGGAATACAGCCATCTGCCAAGACTAGCTCTCTCCCATGAGTGCATACAACCCTTCCCTTCTGCAAAGTCTCTTCTAATGCTCCCAGTATATACTTTCATGTTTCCAGTTGTTTTATTAAGAACAGTAGTTACATCATTTACTCCCACTTAGATGAAAACATCCCAAAAAAGTAAATCGTACATAGAACAAGGTGTTTTTTTAAAAAGCACTAGCATTACATTCTTTCAATCTCATTTTTGCTTAAAAGAACAGAGAAAAAGCGAACATTAAAAACCTATTATACGTATTTGTGTAAAATGAATCAAAGTGCTGCAACTATGATTCAAACTGTTCTTATTTCAAAGCCCACGCTCTTTATAAACATTTAATCACACTAAATGATGTTGTGCTTAGGGTAGTATCTGGAGAGTTAAAGTACCAACTATAAAAGAGGCATAAAGTCATTCCCACATGCAAACTGAAATTATCTGAAACACCTATCTGAAGCCACCCTCAAATATCTATATTAGCTGTTAGTATGTTTATTAATGTTTTTTATATTTTAGTAATTACCATAATAATAAATATAAGTTACCACTTACTGAGTATGTATAATATCTCACTCATATACCAAACTCTTTACATCATCCTCATTTAATTCTTACAACTGCCCTCAGAAATAGGGATTATTAGCCCCATTTTGAGGCACAGAAATGGTCAGTCACTTGGCACAGGCTACCAGGTCTGTATGTAAGACTAGGATTCAAACCCAGGACCCCCTGACATCAAACTCTGTGCTTTTAACCACTATCTACACTGTTTCTGCAATCTAAATGATTAATCCCGTTTATTCTATAAAGATTTTTAAAATAAGAAACCAACAGTACTACACACAGGTGTTGGAGAAAAAGCAAATTTCTTCTACACTGAGTATTATCTTGTCATATAAGCTAATAATTTTAATGACAAGATTAACAGGAAAATCCAAGTGGAAAGATGTTGCTTTATTTGGACAGTAGTTCCCCCAAAGAAAGTTTAATTCGGGCATATTTAATTTTCAAAAATAGCAACTCTAAGCTAACTCCAGGGGGCAGAAAACTATCTTTGTATCTTTAATTTTGATTAATTATAAGGGCAGTAATTATTCTTAAAGTTCTACCTCAGTCTATTAAGTCACAAGCTGGCAAATGCAACTTAAGCTTTCAAAACAACTTTTAGGCTGCCCTCAAGTGATATAATATTTGTTTTTCTCATCCCTTTAGTTTAGATGTATTCTTGTTTAATGGCATATAAATCAGATTTTAGAAATAAATCTGAATTTAAATTAAATTTTAATTAAATTAATTAGGTCATTCACTTTGTCTTGTTACAAAAGTAATGTGTACGTAAATGAGGGGGAAAAAAGTAGTTTTTCAGGGTCTCTGACACCCAGAAACAATTACAATTAACACTCTGCAGTTTCTCTTCCCAGAACTGTGCCAGCAAAAGGGTACAATGAAAATAGTTTTTAATCCACTAGCAAGTTCATGGGAAAGAATCTAACAGGGTCTCTTCATGATGAGGCTACCTTGTAGTGAAAAAATAATCATTTTCACTACCAAGGAATTTACTCTTTTTGTACTTCGTTTCGTACCCACAGTGTCTATGAAACCACAGCGGTTTACCAAAAACCAGGACATTATGATTAACTGAAGGTTGAAAGGAAAAACATCCTCGTTACTGATCATCTCTTTTAAGTATTAGCCTACTGTGCAACCCTACCATCAAGTACATTTTGTGTTCGCACAGGAAGTAACTACATTGTTTTTCGATCTTTGAGGACCTTGCAGGGCCTGAAAGTCATGCTGAACATCAACGCTGAATGTTAAGAGGTGGCTTATACAGAGTGCAGGTGCCTCTGGTGGCTCCAGGACATATCCTACAAACCCGCATACTGAATAATCCTTGTTACCACTGTGTTTTGTTAGTTGCTTCTTTTTCCTAAAGGAAAACACAGAAGGAGATTTTAGTTTAGTTCTATTTGTTTTAACTTTGCTTAGACTCAAAATACACATTCTAAGGCTGGATCCAGACAGACATAAAAATGGCAAATTTGTCTTTAGTGACCCAGCATCCCAGGATCTTTCTCCCCTCCGTGAATTACAACCCATTCAAAGAATCTTGAGGAAACAGAAATTTAACAGTGAACACATAAACAGAGATTGTTCCAGGCGGCCAGGTCAGACAGATTCTACTAGAAGGAGGAGGAAGTAATAATAATAAACAGTGAATTCACCATTTTCTAAATGCTTCCTGGGTAACAGGCTCCAAATCCACATTTCACTGAATCGAAACCAAGAGCCTGCAAGCTAGGCGCAATGAGGCTTGCTTGACTTGCCCAGTAAGCAGCAGGAGGCAGCTCCAATCCTGCCCAGCCCGGTTTCCAAGCCCAGCCTGCCTGCAGGAGCCCCTGCCGGATCATGAAACACTCACTCCAACAGCCAAAGAGGGCGACCTTCACAACATACAATCTTCTAGCAGGCCAGCAGAAATCAATTATAATGCCAGCACCTGGGAACACACAAAACACCTTCACACGGAGGCTTTCATTCGATAGGAAAAAAGAAACTATCACTACGAACACAGGGCACTGATAGTAAGGCGGTGGCATACTGGCAGAGGTGCCTCACGGTACTCTCCACAACACTGAAATATCCCACAAATACTGAAAGGCCTAAGCATTCACACTAGGCCAAGGCGATTTACACAACACACCGAAGGTGAGCATCCAGGTAACCCTTAAGCTCACACATAGGGCCTCGTCTAGAGACAGGTAAACCCTGGAACGCTTACCTGCTCCCTCAGCTCCAAGAAGGATACGGCAGCTCCTGCCATTACCCTTGCTCACCTCTCTCCACCAGCCCGTCTCATCCAGCCCTCTAGGCAAGGCAGTGTGGTAGTCCAGTGTGGCCGAACACTGGTTCGGAGCGCCGAGGACCGGATCTGAAACCCAGCTCCCCTATCAGTAGCCATGGGCCCTGAACAAAAGCTGACCTCCCTGTATGATCAGTTTCCCCAGTAGGAAATGTTAGTAGTAAGAGTACAAGTTCACAGGTTGTGGGGAGAATTAAATGAGTTAGTACAGGAAAAAGGTTTGCAATTAAGCCTGACACAGAGGAAGCAGTAAACACTAGCTACCACCACCACCACCGTTATTAAAACGATGGTGTTCTCCTTCGTCCAAATAGAAATTCTTTTACTGTTCCACCCTACCGCGAGAGAATGAATTTACGGAGCTGTCCAGTTTCCTAAAACATATTAAACTGAAAATGATGGATGTAAGACTGTAATGCAAAGAAAATAATATCTCTAGTTGGGCATCAAAGCCTGATAATTTTTCCAAAAAAATCCCACAAAATCTAACTATTGGCTTTTGAAATATCAAGAGGACCTTCTTTCAAGTCTACCCTTTCAAAAAGAACTAAATGTTCCTTTACATTTTTTTCCCCGAAAGTAATATATTCTCACAGAGAATCTAGAACATATAGACTAGGAAGCAGGAAGAATTAAAAGGCATCCGTAGTTGTACCACTGAAGATCAGCGCCATTAACATTTTGGCAATCTTTCTGCAAATATTTATACAGTTTCTTCTTT